GCCCCCCCCCCCCCCCCCAAAAAAAAGCAACAAACAAAAGCCAAATGAAACAAAGCAGTACAATTTACATAATTAAGATCAATTCAGAGACGGGCTGCTTTTATAAGGTTACCCTAGGTTGAGTGGGATCCTGTACCCAGCAGAATGACGGAGCTACTCAGTGGAATGGAATGTCTATCTTTCCTTTTTCCTAGCACCAAGGAATGACTGTTATAGTACTGATGTGCTTCTCTTTAGTCAAACACAAGAATTCTGGCTTTTAATGTTAACATAAGCTCCCTCCCCCTCCCCCCTTTTTTTCTGAACTCTACCGTTTTTGTCCATCTTTCTCTTTCCCAGCTCAAAACAACCATTTTTGTTTTTAATTTTTATGTGTTTCTTCTCTTTACTCGATGTTAAAGAAACCTTTTCCTGAGCTGTGTCGTTTCTTTTTGTCTCTGGTACACTTTTCCCCTTCACTATAAGAATTACTATTATTGTTTCGACATGATTGTCTTTACTCAGATAAATTAAACCTTTTCCTTTTGTTGCCTGCCTGTCTGTCTGTCTGTCTTAGTGGGTAGTTGGCGGGTGCTGTGGTGTGGTTTGCTCCTTCTTTCCTATTAAACATCTATCGTTCTTATCTCCCCTTCTACTTTTTAAGGTTTGTTACTCTCTTGTAATACCTCTAATCTTCTGGCGCTCATATGACCTTATGCAGGTGCGAGCGCCGTAAAACCTCTACTAAAACTAAACTGTCTGTCTGTCTGTCTTACTCTTTCTCCACACTTACTAATCACAGGTGGTTGGAGGATCCACTGGTGTGTTTTACCTGTTTCCTTTCCCCTCTTTGTCTTTGTCTGTATGTCTTGCTCTTCCTTGCACTAAACGACCATTATTGTTTCAGCTACTCTTTACTCCAACTACCCTAAGTGGGCGTTTGGCGGGTGCTCTGGTGTGGTTTGCTCCTTCTCTCCTATCAAACAACTATTGTCCTTGTCTGTCCTCCTTTTTTTATTAGAGTAATCTTTGGGACTTATACGACCTTATTGTGTTTCAAGTGCCATAAAAGGCTTCTTACTCAAACTAAGAATACCCTAAACCGTTTCCAGAACTCTGCTCTGAATGACTGTTATTGTTTTGATTTGCTTCTTCCCTTATCCAAACTAAATGAAGCTTTCCTTTCATGAACTGCAGCCAGCACCAGTGACTGTCCCCCACCCGAGCGCCTTCAAAACACCCCTGGCCGCTCCCGTCAGCTCCCAGCAGAACAACTCCACCGCCGCTGTCCCCGCCCCGGCAGCTGTGGCCAAACCCTCGTCGGGCTTTGACCTCTTGGGAGACCTGGGCGGTGACCCTTTCGCCTCCAACGTTCCCGCCACCTCTGGGAGCGCCGATGGTGAGTGGTTTTATATATTAGATATTTATATATATATGTATATTTTTGCTGTGATTGCTGATAAGAGCAACTACTAAAGAGATAAAGGGTGAATTGGAAGAGAGGAAATAATGGTTTATAAGAAGAATGTTGAGAGTTTCATGGAAGAAAAGAAAACAAATAAGTCTGTGCTTTGTACAGCCTATTTGCAGTGATGCCCACTGGAGCCAAAATGAAAGAGGCAAAATGCTTTTTTTATTTTTACCCAGTTGCTGTCTTGGGAGTCTTGATTATCTCACTGTATCCAAAAAGATTTATGGAAAAAGATGAAGAGGCAGGCCTAGAGCATATTTACTGTCTCTATTCTTTGACAATTGGAAATATTCCGATAATGCAACATTTCTGAAGATAATTTAAGATATTGGACTGAAAGAAGAGGAATGGTGTCTAATTCTGTCTCTGCACAAAACAAAACAAAGATTCTTTCAGAACGATTTTTGATAAATTTTTTTCAAATTAAATACGAACTGAATTTTGTCTTTGAAGATTGCTCTCTTGCACCTTTTGAACGGAGAGATATTGAAGTACCTACACACTCACAAAGTGTGAAGTTCACCTTTAAAGTGACTTGGATTTGTCTTATCCCTTCATTCTTGTGTCTTATTTTTAGGGGGAAGGGGAGGAGGGGTGCTTTTTTTCTTCTTTTGTATTTCATTTTTTGTTATCCTTTTCTTCTTCGCTCTTCTTTATCTATAGACCACTGCTCCACACACCTCTCAGGCTCACTATGTTTATCTGTCTTCCCCTTGCAGGAGGTTTCGCCGACTTCAGCAACTTTAACAGCTTCAGCACAGCTCCCCCACAGCCAACAGCCACAGCACCTGTGCCCCAGGCACAGCCTCCACCAGCAGCCTTTCCGATATCAAACAGTGAGTACGCTCCATTCGTTTTATCATGTGCCCAGTCAGAATGAGGTGTATGATATGTCGCTGAATTTGACCGAAGTTAGAAAGAAAACTCAAATCTGGTACCAATCTTGAATTTGGCAAGAACTGAAAATATGGTAATATTTTCTATGGAAAGACTTTTTTTTTCAAAGCCAAATTTCCATCTATCATTATTCAGCTTCCGGACGTCATTTGGACTTAACTTACTGAGAGCGGTTTAACACCTATTTAGTTCTTAATTCCATCTCTGACGTTTTTTAAAAGTGTTCCACAAGTGATTTTCTTGTGTCAGTAGGCTTGTTTGCCCACTCAGTTTTTCCTTTACGGGCGGTTAGAGGGTACCACTGATAGGTTCTAAACTTCGTTTCTTTCCCTCTCTTGTTCCCTGTGCTGGAGGACCCATCACTGTTTGGATGTTTTTCTGTTTACTCAAACTGAATGGAATTTTTTCTGTATTTCTATTTTGTGAATAAATGTTTTGTTGTCATAGTGACTCATGGGCATGGCTTAATGTATTGATGTCTTGGTGATTCACAGCTTAATATTTTATTGCCATGGTGACTCATGGCTTAATGTGTTTCCCTGTTGATTCACAGTAGACAGCTAGCTACAGTCAAAGCTGCTCTAATGGCCACCTGTCCAATACAATCACCTGTACAAAGGACCACTTCCCACTTCCCCCTTGCATTTTGTTCACATTATAATGGCACTGTCCTAAACATCCAGTCTAAGACAATCACTTTATCTCCTCGACAATGGGTGGCCGTTTTGGATAATTTTGACTGTATTTTCACTAGGCAACTTATTCTATACATTCCTTCTACTCCTTCATTTTCTCTTATATTATCTTGCCCATACCCTCAACTAAGTGGGTGGTTGGCGGGTGCTCTGCTATGGTTTGCTTCTTCTTTCCTATCAAACATCTATCATCCTTATGTCTGCTCCTTCTCTTTTGTGTCTCTTGTAACACCTCTAATCTTTGGCACTTATGTGACCTTATTGTGTTGCAAGTGCTGTAAAACACTTACTAAAAACTAAAGCAGACCGTTAACTAATCCTCCTCGTCCCCTCCATCCCCCTCAGCTCCTCTCCAGCCCATGGGCACAGGCCTGACCCCAACCTCTAGCAACACACCGGCTGCCGCCCCAGCCCCTGCCCCACAAAGCCACACGGCGGCCTCTTTTTCGGCCATCAGCGACAAGTATGCAGCCCTGGCTGATCTTGACAGTGCTTTCAGTGCCCCCACCACCACGGCCACGGCCATCAATTGGGGCGGCCCAGAGGGTGGGGCCATTAACTGGGGTGGGAGCAGTAGCAGCAGTGCTCCTGTCAGTGAGTATCTAGGTCCTTTTGTGATTGGGGTTGTTTTTTTGGTTTTTTTAATGGTATGGGTTAAGATTGCCCTTTTAGACATGGTGCTAGAGACCAAATGGAACAAAAAGAAGATGTAGACTGACTGTCAGTTATGGAAGTCCGATCAGAGATGAGTTAACCACCAAGGGCCTGGATGCGTGTCCAAACTGGAGGAAATGGCCAGGGACAGACAGACAAGTATCACTGTGGCGTCAACTGCTCTCTGCTTTGTGCATTTGTTGATACAGAAAGTGGGAGGGGTTAAAATGGTGAGATCAAGAAAAGAAGATGGTGGTGAATTGGGCTCACTTTAAACAAGCCACCTCATAATGTGACATGGCAAAGCTTAAGATAAAATCCTTGAGTAAGGAAGAAGAAAGAAAGGCTGAGTTCCACCAGGGAGGCAGCTCTCAGATCAGTGGTACACAGGTGGCAGGAGGTGGAGAGGATCACTCAGAACAGAGATTGATGGAGAACTCTTCGTGGCAGCTTTCATCCTATAAAAGGGTGAATAAAGCAGAGAGAGAGAGAAAGAGAGAGAGAGAGAGAGGAAGATGGGTTGGATGCCCGTTTCAACACTATTAGGATATATACAAGAGTTGAGACGTCTGAATTTGACATTCATTTCCTATATGACAGAGCAAAGCAAGTGGATGGGGTTCCTTTAAAACTCCCCAGACAATTCAACTGTTGCGTGTTCAAACCAGGATGGTCCACTCCATAGCCCAGTATGATACTGAGTAAGCTAATGGTGCACCATTACATCATCTTTGCACCAATGGGCTTGTGGATAAAAAAGTGTTAAAAAAAAGATGCTTCCCTGTGGATCTCTCAAGCCCTCCTATCGGTGGATAACTGCTTTTGTATGACAATTTAATTAGCAGCAAGTGGACTTATGAATTAATTCAGTTTATAATGTGTAATCCTTGTTTTAATTCACCAGAAATTGTTCTACTGATAGCTTGTGTGTTATGTAATGTGATGTTTTAATGATTGTCTATTGTACTGTTGCATGGATTGTATTTCAAAATCTGAAAAACTTAAAACTCCCGAATTTAATTACCACTTACCATTGGGTGGTTGGCGTGTGCTCTGGTGTGGTTTGCTCCTTGTTTCCTATCGAACATCCATCGTCCTGATCTCTCCTTCTTTTTTGGTGTTTGTTACTCTCTTGTAACACTTCTAATCTTCGGCACTTGTATGACCTAATTGTGTTGCAAGTGCTGTAAAACTCCTACTAAAGCAAATGGCCGCTTACCTTCTTTCTTTAGGCACTCCATCGAGCGGTGCTGGAGTCAGCTGGAGTGGTGGCAGTGCTGGTGCAGTGCCCATCAACTGGAACAATGCGGGTGCGGGAACCATGGGTTCGAGCCCCGTCTCCCAAGGCTTTGGTGCGCCACCAGCAGGTGTGTAGCTGTTTTTTTTGGTTGGTTTTTTTCCTCCTTTAGCTACAAGTCTACTTAAGTATATTTTGAAAGTGTTAATGTGTCTCCCAATGTCATTGATTAACTCCTGAACCCAGTCCTTATGGGGTTTTCTGGATGCCATTGTTTTTTGGGTTTGTTTTTTTCCCCAGCTCATTATCTTTATGTGAGTGGTTAGAAGGCATCAGTTGTAGGTCTTGTCCCTCTGGTGTTTCTGTCTGTCTGTCTGTCTGTCTGTCTGTCTGTCTGTCTGTCTGTCTGTCTGTCTGTCTGTCTGTCTGTCTGTCTGTCTGTCTTGCTCAATCCCAGCCCCAAATGGTCGTTTTTGTCTTGATTTAGTTTTCTTTACTAGAAACAACCATATCTTTGTTAGTCTTCCGTGCCCAAAGTTTTTATTAATAAGCACTGAGATGAAAAGTGTGTAAAAAGATAAGCATTTTGTCTTGCTGATTTAAACGAATGAACCAGTTATTATGGTACTGCTGAACACTTTTTCTAGGCTTATTTAACAACAGTAAAAAATAAATAAATGGCAGACACTAATGCCATTGTGTTTGTTGTATTTTGCATGTCAGTTTTTATTACTAGTTAGGATTTTATGATTGTAACGTTGGTCAAATTCAAATGAGACTGGAAAAAACATACGCTAGTTTTGATGATGATTAGATAAAAGATGTATAACACTATTAAGTTTTGTAGTTCTCTGTTAAATGATAAAAATATGAGCATCTGTGGTGTAGTGGTTCGGGCCCTAGAGCTGTCGAAATGCAAAAGGAGTGTTTTTGATTCACAAGTGGGGAGGTTATTTTTTCAGTCATCTCCGTCTGCCTACTTTGATGCTTTATCCCATCCCACCCAACCCAGGTTGGTCCTGATTGATAGGGTAAAAACTGCTGGCTTCCTAATTTAAATGATCTAAATTGTGTTGATGAGTGCATTAAAATTTTACCCCCAAAAAATACAAATCTGGCACGACTTGGTGGAATCAGGCGCTCGTCAAAATAATGAAAGTCAAGAAGCTGGCTTTTTTCCGCAGATTTTGAAATTTTTATAGAATTTTTGTTTTTGGCTCAACACCTTTCATGCCCATTCAAGAACACATTTCTGTGTCGATTTTACAGAAAAATGTTGATGAAAGGCATAAAAGATGTAAATTTTCAGTTTCCGCGGACTCAAGCTAAGGAAATAGCTCATCTTTGGCGGCCATTTTCTCGCTAGTTTTACCTCTGTAACCAGGCGACCCCCACCTCCTACAATCGCTAATATCTTGACTTTTTTTCAAGATAAACAGATATTTTTTTCCATCAAAAGCAAGGCTAATGGACAGGCTTTAAGATGATACCAATAACTCTATATGCCCTAAAATTGACGAGCGCCTGATTCCACCGTGTTGTGACACAAACGTATTTTTTTTTGTGCCCGAAGTCTAGCTGTGGGAAATCTAAATGAGAATAAGTGACAAGTGAACTGAGGGATTTGATTACACAGGAAATGCCAAGTGCTGTAATTGAGCGTTGTCGTAAACAATGGAATATTGTATGTGATTCATCCTGGTGAAAATCAGGTGCTCTGATAATTCTAAATAATGAATTCAAAGAAACAGGCGTATTCCTGCCCATTTTACAATTTTTTTACCTAATATTTTTTGTTTTTTTGCTCAGCACTTTTTATTTCCTTGTGAAAACACATTTCTGTGTCGATTTTACTGAAAATATTGATCAAAAGCACAAAATTCAAGGATACTCAAGCTTTGGAAATCCCCAAACTTTGGTGGCCATTCATTTCTCACTAATTTTACATCTGACACCAGGTGACCCCCACCTCCTTCAATAGCAAATATCTTGACTTCTATTCAAGATAGATGGGAATTTTTTTTAAAACCCTGCAAAACAAATGAACAAGCTTTAAGATGGTACCAACAACTCCACAATCCCAAAAATTGATGAGCGCCTGATTCCACCGCGTTGTGACACATATTGCGAAGAATGCGATGATGGCAGTAGTAAAAGATCTCAGTGCTGGGACGTGTTGTGTCAGTAGTTACTTCTTGATGATCTTTGATGCTCTTCCTTTACCTCCTCACAAAGGACGTTTTGTGAATTTTAACGGTCTGAGAATAAGCTGTGTTATGTGGATTCTATACTTAAAAGCTGACTTGCTGTTAGAACTTAGAAGTAGGCAAACACTTCATGTGAGAAAGTCAGTCCGATATTTGCATTCTTCGAATTAAACATTGCTTTAGTGGTTGTGGCCAGCAATACTATATGCAGTATTCTTCAACATACACTTCTTGTTTTAGTAAAAGTGGTGGGGGGTTGAGATTTGGATGATTTCATTTGTCACTAACTGCCATGTCAAACGTTTGTCTACTGTGTTCAGGGAAACCAGGCAACCCTTTCTTAAAACCAATGGGTAAAGTGTGCATGTTGATAAAGTCTTTTTATAATTAACTCCGTTCCGTTCTTGACGGTCCTATTATTTGCTATATAATAGCATTTGTTTTATACCTTTCTTGCATGATTTCTGAATTCTATTTTGAAAGTTGCTACCCGTACTCAACAAGCATGCTAGTGTGCATAACAGCTGAAAAACTTTGAGGAACTAGAAGGGCTTGCTATAACCTGTATAGTGTTTCAGATATGCTGTTTATTCTACGAATCCCTAACTATTTGTATCTTGTGCAACAAGGTATGTCTTTGCTTTTAAAGAATCTCTTTTATTTATTTTTTTTTTTAAATGCACGGGAGAGAGAGTGTATGTGTGTGTGTGTGTGTGTGTGTGTGAGCGTTTGTGTTTGTATGTTTGTGTGTGTACGTCTGTTTTGGCGAGTTACCATGCCACAGACTGAAAGCGGAGAGTCTTTGTATAACCAGCTTTGCTACAACCGTTTTATTCTTCTGCTTGAATGTAAGAAAGCTGTTTTCCATTGTACCTTAAATTTTTTTGTTCTGATTTTCGTACTTGAATTAGCTGGCTGTTTTTGGAGCCGTATGTAGATTTCACTCTTCAGTCTTCTTTGCAGAACCAGTACTAATGCAAAAGCAGCACATTCCAAATATCTGCTTTAACCCATTTTCAAAACCTTTTCTTCACTACGCAAGTAACA